ACCATCAATTGAAACATTAGCCGAACAACTGAATCATATTTATGTGCTTGTAAAAGAACGATTGGATAATCTGTCAAAAGTAGAAAAACAAGAAAAAGAAATGATTATCAAGATGGAATTAGAAAAGCTGCGTACCGAACCATATGATGAAGAGAAATTGATAAAAGTTGAAGAACAATTACAGCAGCTTCCTGTAGAAGATGAAAATACGCAAATATTAGCTATAGAGGTACAAAAATTACGAGCAGATAAAATTGAGCGTGATGCAGTTAAAAAAGAAATCGAAATAAAACTAGCCGAATTACTCAACCGTATGAATGTGATACGGACAAACTTGAGTGCAATAATGGAAGAGAAAGAATCGGAAAAAGGAAGAACAAAAAGAATAAAAAAGCATTAACCGATATTGATGAACAAATTAATGCATTTGAATCAGCGTTAAATGAAACATTTGATGAAATTTTACCACCAATGAATGAGCTTATTTCTCGATCGCATCAAGAGAGCATCAATCTTCCATCACTTCAATCTGAACTTGAAAATACACAAAATTTCGCTGAAAAATGCAAGGTAAATTTGCTTCCTTAAATCAAAATATGAACGTTTTTCTTACATTTTATAATATCATCATCATTTTCAACATTCTTGAATCATTAATATATTATATTTTTGCAGAGAAAATTGGATGAGAAGCTAGCAGAAAAAGAGGAAATGAAAATGGTACAATCTGAGCTTGCAGAATTAGAAGAAAAATATGTTTAGCTAATCAATTGCTAACATATGATGTAAAAAATGCTGATAATCTAGAAGATATTGAAGAAAAAGCGAGAAATATTGAAAATTTGGAGCAATTCATGATTTCAACATTGGATAAGTTAAAAGATTATGATGGCAATATGATGTTGAATGAAGCAATGTCTCTTATTGATAAGCTACGTATTTTACGAGAATCTATTGCAAATCATCAGAAATCATTTGCTGATTGGAAAATTGCTAACGATAAATTAGAAGATGAAATACGAGAAATTAATGATAATATGGAAAGATTATTTATTAACTATACAGAACCACAACCGTATACAACAGCAACAAACGATATAAATATATTAGAAGGATTACAGAAACAGATCATGGAATTATTAAGGAAAACGATCAATATGGAAGAGAATGTAGTGCAAAATTTACCAAACTATCATTCTGCAATCAATATAATGAAGCAAAGAATTGAAAAAACTACCAAAGATATTGAGGTATTTAATTATATATAATTTTTTTTTCTCTCTTTCTCTTTCTTTTTCTATTTCAATTTGCGTAATTTAAATTTAATATTATATTTTATGGTTATTTATCATTTATTGATCTTGAAAAATTTTTAGTTAGAAAAAATTATTTCAGAATTTATTATCATCGCTTATTGAAGATGTTTCAACACAAAAGCAACTTGTTGATATGCAAAACGATTTGATCAACCAATTGAGTAAATTAAATGATTGTGCCATAATGGTTCGTAGTGCACCATATGATGAAACACAAGCTGCACGATTAGAAGAATTAAAAATGAACTTGCAAAAGTAAGTGATATATTGGAAGAATTGAAAGAAAAGGAAAGGAAACCAATAAAACTGGTGCAACATTCAAACGATTTAAGAATATCATCTATAGTTGATCAGTATGAAAATGTTAATCATCTTCTGAATGAAACTGAAGAGCAATTGATGAATGAAGCTGCTTATGTAACATTACAATCAACAATTAACAACGAAACGAAAGAGCTACATTATATGGTGGATGAAGCGTATAAAGTTGAAAATGATATTAATGCAACAACAAACGATTTGAAGAAAGCAATTGATGATCTCAAAAATGGTCGATCACATTTGACAGTATTACAAGATGCATATGATAAATTGGAAACAATACCAGATACGGATTCATTACGTGAGAAAGTAATTGATGAAATTTCAACATTAAATGAGCAATACGATAATTTTGAAAGAATTTTAGAAGATCGACTTGATATGCTGAATAAATTTGACGAAATAGCGGATAATGTAAACAAGCAGTTGATGGATCTTGAAAATGATGCACATAAACTGGAAATTCCAAATGCCAGTTGTGAATTATCCGTTGCTGAGAAAAGACTCAATGATGTTAATAAATTAGAAGAATCATTGAAAGAATTATACGAATTGAAAGAACAATTAACACCATTATTGAAGCCTGTTTTTACAGTTGAAGATTTCGGTAATCGTTTATCAGATGTGAACAAAAATTTCCAACAATGGTACGATGAGCTTGTGAGAAAGAAGCAAGAATTGGAAGCTGAAAATAATCTATCATGTTTAATCAATGATTTCAAGCAAACTCTTATTAATGCCGAAAATGATTTTGAAAAGCTTGAAGGAACGATGAATTCATTGAAGAATTTCAGTGATATAATTTTACCAATGGTAGTTGAAAAATCGGATCGTATCAGAGATCTAATACTACCGGTAAAAACTGAAAATATTAAAGAGCTTTATGATGATGTCGATAAACTAACAGATCGATATAATGATTTATCAACACGTGTGAATGATAAATTGAATCATGCAAAGGAGCAGGAGAATCTATTTGATGATATCCAACGACAGCTTGATGATATGGAACAAAAAGCTGATGATTTTCTCAACAAATACATCACTTCACAAGATTTATCAATTGCTATGGAAGATATCGATCAATTGCATTCACTTCTGAATCAGATTCCAACATCAGCAATGGAAAATATCACTGAACATGGGCTCAAAGAGAATTTATTAAAGAAAGCAGATATTATAAAGAATAAGATTAAAAATTTACTTGTTCCACTGGAAAAAGATATGAAAAAGGAGCAAGAATTGATGCAAAATGTTCATGAAATACTATCGACAATAACTTCAATTGGTGATGATGTTATTGGAGTTGATAGCATAAATGAGCCATCACAACAATTGATAAGCATTGGTGAATTAACTGAAAATTTGCGAAAATTGAAAGGAAAAGTTGAAAAACTAGAAGGAAAATTACATAATTCGGAAGGTATGGTAAAACGTGCATTAATAAATGATGATCTTTATGATCGTGTTGTACAATTACAAAATGCACTTGATGATAAGAAAGAGAAATTAACCGATCGTGCCAAATTATATTCCACAACTGCGGAGATAAATTTGATCAACGAAAATGTGCAACATTATATAAATGAAATGGAACAAATACCATTGCAAACAGTTGAGGAACAAAATAATGCATTAAGTGAGCTTGAAGGAAAGAAACATCAACTTGAAAATTTGCTAGAAAATATTCCGATGAATGATGATGGTAATAAGTTACGTGAGGATGGTAATAGATTACTGGCACAACTGAATGATATTCTAAAACGGTTAGCTGATGCAGTTGGAGAAAAGCTTGCAGCATTAGCATCATTCAATGCAATTAGAGATGAAATTGAAATACAACTCTCATCATTGCAATCAATGCCAGTATTAATTTCTGATGAAATTACTCTATCTGAACTTGAGCATCAATTGTGTGATATAAATGTAAGTTTGTTATTTTTAATATATATCACTTGGATTTTAGTATAAATTCGACTTTAGTATTCTCATGGTAACGAAGAACAATTTATGTCTTTTCTTGAGATCGACGACCTGATTGATTGTGGAGATTGAATATCAGCAAGTTATTTTAATTGTTTTCTGCGTGCGCTTTCGTTAAACTGATCCAATTTTTTTATAGACCGGTGTGCAGAAGCTTCTAAAATTGAAGGAAAAAATTTCACATGTTGGAGTCTCTGAATGTGATAGGGAACAGTGCGACGAGAGGAAAGACCTTTTGTCGAGAATCGATGGGGTTTTGGAGCGTGCGCAGGTTTTTTTTTACTGGTTGAATAGTGAAGTTTTTATAGATGAGTAAGGTTTTTAACTAAGTTGGATGTCGTATTAAATGCAATTTTTAAGTGATATGTTTCAGAAAGATCATGATTATTTCGACAAAAAGCGTGCCCAGTTGCTTGCGCATGAAAGGATATCTGTCGATTGTAAGACATTACACAGTGAGTTGGTAGAATGGATAAAGAATGGTCAGGAATTGTTGGACGATTCAGAAGCTCTTCCAGAATCTTACGATTCTGTCTCAAAGAAATTTGACACTCTTAGTGAAAAGATATTCGATTTACGCAAGAATAAACCAAATATCGAACAGTCACTGGTTTTTGGTCAGCTATGTGAACTAATTGACAAAGGCAAAGATCTGCAACTAGAATTGTCTAAACGTGCTCTTATGTGGGAAAATTTTGTAAAAGAACGTGATTCAGCAGTAGAAGAACTGAACGATATACGCAGGCAAATATGTGAAATTGAAGGACGAGGAGTGAGAAGATTTGATAAAATGCTTGATGATTTGGAAGCTTTAAAGGTTTTTTTTTTTCATATGACTGATTTAAGTTAATTATTATTATGAGGATGGTGTACCTCGTAGGATTGCTGTAACATGCAAAAAATTTCTCAAGGCTTTCGTTAGTGTACTCCTTATCTTGCCTTTTGGTTTTAAACAAGTTTCAGAAATTTTCTTAAACTACCGAATAACTAATTTGTTTCAGGCTCTCTACCTGAGGTGGTCATTCCTTGCGGATTTACCATCACGACTATTGTCTTTGTGTTCACAGCTTCATCCGCTAGCCTGCGCCCGACGAGAGGGAGAAGCATTTGTCGAGGAAGCAAGTGAACTTGAGAAAAAGATCGAGGTTTTTTCTTCTTATTCTTTTTGATAATTTGATCTGTTGAGCTTAATGTAAAGTGATGACAACCAAATTAAGCTTCCCTGATAAAATTCCATAATCAAAAATCCGAATTGATTCTTGAATGAATGCTAACTTATAGGAAACCTTTAATTTATCGGTTACTATCTTCCAGTTGTCTTCGGAAATGCTTTTTTTAATAATTTGAAAATATCCTGGATTTTAGAATTTGTTGGATTCTATGTCCGCCGAATTCCGAGTAAGAGAGGAAATTATGCATTCATTACTCGTAATATCAGACGAACTTGGCGATATTAGAAATGCATTCGATAATCAGAACATATCAGCTTCTCTACAAAAGGTCTTTTGTTGTGAAAAAATATTGTACCTAAAAGCTTTTTAAATAATACGGCCTTTCTGACTAAATGCTATGAGTAGAACTGAGTGAATTTCATTTAAAAAAAGACAACTCGTTTAAATTTATTGGGTTTCGCTTTATGTTTCTGTAGTACTTGACATTATCAACCATATAAAGTATATTTTGTAACATATAAGGGTTTCTAAAATACTAAAGAAAGTCGTGCTCATTTCAGAAACTGGAGCAAAAGTTGGAAGGTATTGGAGCGCATTTGAAAACACTAGATGAAGATATCACTAAGTACAATGCTAATAGAATCTTTCTGAATGAAGAAGAGGATATTACAACCAAACGTAATTTCGAACAGTTAGAAGAAATTGAAGAAAGACTAAAACGACTACAACTTACGGATACTGAAGAATATGATATTGATGCGGCAGCAGAAGTACTGGCAGCAATATATCCTAATGATTATCCACGAGATGTACTGCGTGAACAGGGCATTCCATTTGATGATGATTTATATGACCTTAGCCCTAGTTCTGCCACTAGCGACGATGATGATGTGAGCAAATTTGAAACACCTAATGATGAAGTATGTTTTATGATTTAATAGAATTTCCCTCTGGTTTGCTTAACTTACATGAGATTTAGCTTCGCTTATATCTGTAAGTAAAGGACGGCAATGGACTTAATCACTAATGTAATTCAGCAGTTAGAATTATGATTATGTCTGAGGGTTTAGGATTAAGGATTAAGTTTTAAGAGCTCATTTATGATGGGAATATAAGGTACTATTTTCGAAAAAAGTGATTTAATGAAAAAGATCTAGGTTTGATTCATATATCCGGTTTTTTTTTTTTCATTTTCATGTAAAACATAGAGCAGAAGTTATTAAAATGTGCCTTCGTCATATTTTATTTTTAACTGATATTAGCAATATCAAAAATAGTGATAAAGACGAGAAAAAGCCAGAAGGTTCATTGTATTAGTTGCAGGTGATGCTAGAAGAAAGCGATGTAGAAAATGCCGTTGAGGTCTCTGCATCATCTGATGTTGTTGCACTTTCACCAATACCAGATGATCCAAGCCCAGGACGTGTACATTACGTACGACAACGTTCTCGTTGGAGACGTATACTTCGTACTGCATTGCCTCTTCAGGTTTGTTTTTCATATCTATGAAGCATAAATCTTTCTGAATGGCGTAACTTATTTTTCAATTTTCAAGATAATTCAGAAATAATGCAATCAGTAGTTGTTCATTTTTTTTTTTTTGTAGTGGAATCTTAAATGAACAGTATCATACTATTTTTTGCAGGCTATGCTTGTATTACTTCTTGGTGCAGCATGTCTTGTACCACACTGTGATGATGAAAGTTGTTGCCAGTTGCTCAATAATTTCGCACGAAGTTTTGATCCATCCTTAGAATTCGTCAATGGACCGCCACCTTTTTAACGCATTCATATTGATTACAACAGGCTCATTCACTGTTATCGCTAATATTCTGTTAAAAAATAGAAACTGGATGTTTTACTTCTGTTTTTCCTTTTTTTTTTGTTATTGATTGATACATTTGAAAAGAAAAAATCCATGTAATTTATTTGTTTTTATTTTTTCACATTGTGCTTCCTATCTTGTTTAAAAGTAATTACGGAACAAACTAATTATGCTTCAACTTTTAAAATAAAATGTTAATCGTTGAATATCGATTATTTCACCCATGTCATATATATATATATATATATATATGCATACTGAATGGTTACAGCATAATGAAGTATGGCAAACCTAGACTCTTGAGAACATCCTGTGCCAGTAATACCTTATTTTTATGCATTCCCTCTATTTGCCCAACCTATTTTTCTGTCATTTCGTTCTTGATCCTCATGACTTCCCAACTGTAGTACAAATTGATTTATGTTCAGGGATTAGCAAAATTTCTGAAATGTATACGGAACTTTATTGATAACACACAACAAAAGTAATGGTGATTTCCTTGTAAGCAATACAGTAGCACCAAAAAGTAAAGAATAAAACATATGTTTGAAGACAAATTCAAACAGCTAATTTCCTAAAAAATTTTTGGGAACAAAATGAAATGATTTCTTGATGAGAAAAAAATATGTTGATTAGAAATTATGATACAGTGATAACGTAGTACAATAATAATATTCTTACCACTGTTAAGTTTGATAAGGCATATGTAGTACCATAAACTATATCTAAGAAAATAGGACTTACTTGGGAACATAAAAAAACAATTGGCGAAAGTGGAAAACAAACAACAAATATATTAAGGGTAGTAGTTTTCTTTTCTTAATATAATTATAAAGCAGAGTAATTTGAATTTCTTCAAATAAACTTTACAAAAAAAAAAAATTTCAGCTAGGATGCGCAAGGATAACTGATCCTGAATAGAAATAGTAGTTTCTCAATAGTAGAAAGAATAATACCTAAAATCAGATGATCTCCAAAATGCAAGTGATTAATTTTAACCAATAATTTTCTTCAAAAAGTTCCTCAAAAGCATAAAAAAAAATGATCGATTTCCGAATATTCTTATCGATTACTTTTTAATGAAACCTCATCAAGTCATATTTCAATCTGCTAAATGCACATATTCCAATTCAATATGTAGATAATTTTGAAAATAAGTGAAAACTAGAAAAGTCAAGTAAATATCTGTGATACCAAATAAAACTATTTCAGAAAATACCATTTCAGTCGAAAGTAAAGTAAGAAAAATCATATAATCTTGGAAATTTGTAAACTCATATAAATACAATGTGAAGTGAAAAAATGAGAAAGCAATAAACAATTTGATTATTTTTTTTTTCAGTCATCAACATTTCTCTATTTTTCTTCTTTCTTTTTGAATGAAATTTCTTACAAATTGTGTAAATTATAAATATTTAAGGTACATTAGTACGCTGGGTACGTCCAATTTCGAGTTCGTATATGGTTGCAGTCGTTTTCGAATCTAAATATCCGGCAGCTGAACGTAATTTCAATAATTGCATTCGATCATAACGCTGCTTGCTTACTTTTATTTCTGTCACATCGCCATTACCAGCTGTGGCATTATTTAATTGAGTCAAATTTGGTGTACTACCTGTTTTACCAGAAGAACGCCATTGCACATTGCTACTAGTACTTACCGGTGAGTTGTCACAGCTAAAATTAAACATAATAGCTAGAAATGTATAACAACTAATGATAAGAAATAAAATAATTTAACAAATTAAATCATCTCTACAGAATTATTCACAATTTAGGAAATATTTTATAAAAAATGCATGTGAAAGAGTAGAAAGATTAACTCATTCATCTCAAAAATAATCTCCTCCTCATTTCTGATAAATGTAAAATTTCAGCAATCTTCTGTTATTTACCTACTATTAAATCAAAAAAAAAAATTCCTGTCAATAACAAACTTAGCAATTTGGCGATTTGATGAGGACTGCAGTGGCATTGATTTTCTTCTTTCTTTGCGCTGTTCACGTTCTTCAGCTGATATTCGCGAATGATTTCGGCCAACTCTTGTTAAATATTCACTTAGAGCTGCTTGCGCTGCCTGTAGTATTAGAACTAGAAAATAAAGTGAAAATTCGGATTAATTCTCAGATATTGTAAATTTAAAATTTGCGAACACAAAGAAAAATATCACAAATGATAAAAATTAATAGCAGATGGTTTCATTTAGTAAGTGAAACAAAAAAAAAAAAAAAAAAAAAAAAAAACAGAAACACTGATATTAATACGGAATTAGTCTAGCTTTATAGTATGTTTATTAAAAATTTAATAAAAAAAAAAAATAACCTGAAGCACTTGTGGATCAGCACACGACAATTTCAAAGTGCCATCTTGTGTCGTTTCAATTGATATCCCAACATCATCATCATCATCATCATCACCATCATCATTGTCATCAACTTCTGCATCATTTGCTTCAGTCTAGAATAAATTTTTAAGTTTATCAAAAATCCAAAAAAAAAAAAAAAAAAAATTCATCACCTACACAAGAAGATGATAATTAAAAGAGTGTCATAAAACATCAGTAAGACATCCAAGATGTTAATAATTAATCAGGAAAATAATAGATAAAACCAAAGTTGCATGTTTTGACCAAAAAAAAAAATACTTGAGCAAAACCAAATAGGCAACTATCATTTCTTGAGTTAAATAAAATCAAAAGATGTGCAAAGTTGGCTTGAAAACATAAATGATAGCTATAACGTAGCAAAGAAAAATAACTTTCATTAGAAACACATCCAAAAATTCTATAAACAATATTTGTAACTATAAAATGAAACGTGAAAAAAATAAACGATTACTCGATTAGGTGAAATATTTCGACGAATTGTTTGCTCGATGAGACGTTTCGCATAATCAATCGATTCTTGATTACTACCAGTTATTGTCAATGTACGATCCTTACATTTGGAATCAACTTTTTGAAATGATATTACTGTTTTGCTTAATTCTTCCACTACTGCTACACGTCGACCTTTAACACCCATAACTGCAAAGTTACATTTCAATTCAAACATTCTAGCTTGAGCTCCATTTTTTTTTTACTATTAGCTACTCTATTAAGTATCCCAAAGATAAAAGAAAAAAAAAAAAGGAAAAACTAATTAGATTAGACCATATCCCATACAATATTGACATGTAATTTTAAATTATTCCAACCACTATTATACAATGACCTGAATTTTCTGTAATAATTAGTTCGATGACATTTTTAGCATATGAATGACAAAAATTTGGAAATATAATGCACAGAAAAAAACAAAAATTTTGAATTACAATAAATTGGTTCAATTAAAATCAAACTTTTTGACAAGATTGACTTGACTTACTTTTGCCAGAATCACTATTACGTATCACCATTTCCTCGCGTAATTGTGGAACACGATTTTGTGGTGTTTTTGCTTTCAATTTTGTCTGTTGCAGTTGTTTGTTAGCTTTCGCCCAAGCTTCTACATCAATTGGTGTTAATTGAGGCAAAATATTACCAGATGGTACAACACCGGGAGCTATTATTGGTCGAGCCCATCCACCTAAACAGATAATGAATTTAAATTACATCTTAAATTGTTAATAATTATATTTTATTAATAACATCTTGATATTTGAAGTGAAACTTTTTCTTTTCTTCATTTATTTATTTGTTTTATGTTAGCATTCTTAGTATTTACTGCTTTGGTAACAGTTTAAAGATAAACAAATAAGCAAAATTAAACTACAATTTAAATTGTTATTAATCATATAGTTAACTTGATAATTTTTCTCAACTTATCACTCACTACTCTATTATCAGTGCATGAATATGAATTAACTTCAACGGCTATTAAAAAAATTCAAATAAATAAAAATTATGCTAAATTTTCATGGAAATAAAAAAAAAAACAAACTAGCAGCAGCTGCTGGTATCAGATAGAAACTTGCTGGTGTGGGTTGTGGAGTGATTACTGCATTGTTTACATCATTTCCAACATAAAGTGGTGGTGAAGGACCACCAAAATTACCAAACGGATTTACCGGGATTGTACCGAATGGTGGAGCACTTATTGGTGCAGGATCTGTAAATAATTAATGAGAATTTCAAGCATGTAAACAACAGAAATAAATGAAAGAACAAGAATTCACTTAAATCATAAATCAATTTACTGATATCGATATCAGTAAATTGTCATTTATGATAAGTCATTTATAGGATTAATATTAATTTTTTTTCTTTCTGTTATCATCATATTAAGACTGTTGTTAAAGTAATTATCGTAAGTCACCTAATCACTTCTTAACTAATCTTAATTATCAACTTTCCACTTACCAAATATTTTCCGAAGCATTATTAATTCATATGCAAATTAATTAATATAAATTAAAAGATACCAATTTGTTGCTGTTGTTGTTCAGGACGATTAAGATAATATTGTGTATGTGCTAGGCTTGGTCTCCAACCCATTGCTCGTAATTCCACCAATTCCATCATTTTGAGTCGACACGGCGTCCCAAGTTGACCATTATCACGACAGCAAGCTTGTCGCAAAGATACGAAAACTCGATTCAGTTCATCTATAGAAGTTACATTTAATGTCACCTGTCATCTTATATTTACTTTTCAAATTTAGAAACAATGAATGTGCGTCATAAAGTCGATACGATAATAGATTTAGTAATATTTACCAATATCAACTGCATTATACTGTCATCAAATTTCTTCCATATAGCTACTTCTACTATTCTTCATATATTATTTGTGTACCAAATAATAAAATTTTAAAAAAAAAAAAAAGAAAAAGAAACGCTAAAGTTTTGAAAAATGAATTATAAGAGAAAAACAAACTTTTATGAGATTGCTCGAGAAGTTGTCCAGAAAATTTGAGTTGCTGACAAAGAACAAAAATCTGATTAGCAAGTTGAGCGTTAAATAGTCCACCTTTCACTGATGCATTTATTTGATTCATCAAACTGAGCAATTGCTCTAAAAATAATCATTTTTTTGAAGAGATCATTGACAATATAAAAGATCATCGAAAACCAATGATAACATTTTTTTTTTTTCTTTTCTTGTTCTCAACTAATTTATTTCATAGAAATATTTGAGTGTAATGTTTTGAACTGGTGATAGCTTGATATTACTTATGAGCATTTCGTAGAAGGTAATTTGATAATTTAATAAAAAGCTTAACCTTTTGCTATATTTAGACAAAATGAAGACAAATATAGCAATGCTAGATCAGTTTATCGCAATCCCTCTCTTTTAAATCTAGCCTAATCATACTAGATCAGTTCACCTCACTAGCCTAATCATACTAGATCAGTTCACCTCACTAGCCTAATCATACTAGATCAGTTCACCTCACTAGCCCAATCATACTAGATCAGTTCACCTCACTAGCCTAATCATACTAGATCAGTTTACCTTAATCCCTCTCTATTAAGTTTAACCCACTTTTGTTATTACATGCATATCATTTAGCATTAAAAACGTGATGTCTTGAAGTAGTGATAAGAAGTAAATAATCAGTGTTTGGATTGAATTGTATTAGCATACGACACAGAACACATTAGACAAGGTCAACACATTAACAATTCTTTCCCAATAAAAAACATCTTCAAAATTTTCTTAGTATTAGAAAAATCAAAAAAAAAATTTAATATTTGAGTAAAAAAATCTTTACCCAAATATTTTTAAAATGGGACAAACTGTCGTTGTTTTTTCCCTTTTTTTGAGACTAAATATTTTCAGATGTAAAATTGCAAGTAAAAAAATTAGGATTAAAACTTCGTTACTGCCAAAAAGGAGTAAAGCGAGAAATAGAAGCAAGTATTTAGATGAGCATTTCGATGATCATTTAGGAAAATGAAGATTCTAAGAATTTTGTTAAGAATTTTAGACAGATGTAAATGATTGCAGAGAAATCCGAAAATATGAAAACGTTTCCGGATTTCAATTTTAAGCAGTTAGCGCATTATTATTGTTGCAATCGATAAACAACAACTATTCACATCTTTATGAAAAATAAACTCAGTATAATTGTTTTTACAAACAAAATATTTTTGTTTACTTTGTTCTTATCTTTTTTTTCTTATCTAAATGAAAAAAAAAGAGTACTTCAAAAGAAAAACAATAAAGAATTGATTCAGTCAAATATTAGCTCATAATGAGATTAGTAATGATTACTAAATAAAATATAAAATCTAACAATTATTTGTGAGGAGAATCATTTTGTGAATTTTTAAAATGTACAAAATTTCATTTTGTTGAATTAATGCTCAGTTATTCATTTTAAAAAAATTCTCAAATTTACAAGAATAATTTATGCATCTGATGGTATCAATTAGAAGTTAATTTAGAATTAGTTCATAATGCTATCATCATTTTACTCATTTTCCTACGTTAACTGAGATTGACAATAATTTTAACAATGATTAAATTAGATTTTAATTTTTTTATTCAAATTTTGTTGTACAAAAATTAAAAAAATTTTTGAGACACAATTATTCATTTATTCAACGAAAAAAAATTAAAAAAAAAAAAAAAAACTTCTTAGAAATTTATAAAAATTACATATAAAATGAAGAATTTGACCGCAAAAAATTTTAATTCTCACAAATAATGAAATCAGTGATTCCATGCATACAATTATTTCATTTATCATATAATAAATAATATTTCACATCATTTTTTCTTCTTTCTCATCTAAATTCCACAAATTCGTCATCAAAATTATGAAAAAAAATTTTTTTTTTTTTAAATTGGACCAAATAAAATGATAAAAGGAATTGAAGTAAAGAAATTCATTAATGTGTACAACAATCGCTTGAATTATTCTTATCAATATGAAAATGTGACGAATTAACAATGAAATTCTAAAATTCATTAATGATAAAGAATACCTTATTGAATAATTCTATATTTGCTTTGGAGTTAACATTTTTTTTTAAATAGATATGAAATAAGCATTAAAGAACTGAATTATTTTTTGATGATAGTTACTTCAAAATAATTTATAGAAACAAATTTTTCATGTATTTGTAAATATGAGTAACATTAATACTTATTTACAGGTTATATTCCAATTTTTTCTTCTGCAATAAAACAATTTGAAATTTATGAAGAAATTTAGGTATGCAGAAATTTTTTTTCTCTTTGGGAAAAAAGGTCAAAAAAAAAACATTATTGGAAGAAATTTAGCGAAAAATCAATCAATTAATCAAATTAATAAATAAAATTCATTTCAATCAATTTAGTATTTGCGAGAACAGATTTTTAAGAAATAAATTAGCTAAGAAATTTGTAACTGATAATTAATAATGCATAAATCAATTTTCTAATATCCTAAAATTTCTACTAATTTTAACAACTAACAATCTTCTAGAAAAATTATCAAATATACTTCATTATTTATTCATTATATTCAAAAAATTCTACTTTTGAAATGACTCATTAAGTAAATTATTACTCGTAAATTTTTTTGAAATCCATTTATTTTCCTCATTTTGTTATATTGATAAGATAATGATTTGTCATTTTGTTATATTGATAAGATAATGATGCTAATTAATTAGAGGAAGTAATAAAACGATTCACTCTATTATTATTTAATAATAATAATAATAATAATAATAATAATAATAATAATAATAATAATAATAATAATAATAATAATAATAATAATAATAATAATAATAATAATAATAATAATAATAATAATAATAATAATAATAATAATAATAATAATAATAATAATAATAATAATAATAATAATAATAATAATAATAATAATAATAATAATAATAATAATAATAATAATAATAATAATAATAATAATAATAATAATAATAATAATAATAATAATAATAATAATAATAATAATAATAATAATAATAATAATAATAATAATAATAATAATAATAATAATAATAATAATAATAATAATAATAATAATAATAATAATAATAATAATAATAATAATAATAATAATAATAATAATAATAATAATAATAATAATAATAATAATAATAATAATAATAATAATAATAATAATAATAATAATAATAATAATAATAATAATAATAATAATAATAATAATAATAATAATAATAATAATAATAATAATAATAATAATAATAATAATAATAATATAATAATAATAATAATAATAATAATAATAATAATAATAATAATAATAATAATAATAATAATAATAATAATAATAATAATAATAATAATAATAATAATAATAATAATAATAATAATAATAATAATAATAATAATAATAATAATAATAATAATAATAATAATAATAATAATAATAATAATAATAATAATAATAATAATAATAATAATAATAATAATAATAATAATAATAATAATAATAATAATAATAATAATAATAATAATAATAATAATAATAATAATAATAATAATAATAATAATAATAATAATAATATAAATAATAATAATAATAATAATAATAATATACATAATAATAATATACATAATAATAATAATAATAATAATAATAATAATAATAATAATAATAATAATAATAATAATAATAATAATAATAATAATAATAATAATAATAATAATAATAATAATAATAATAATAATAATAATAATAATAATAATAATAATAATAATAATAATAAATAATAATAATAATAATAATAATAATAATAATAATAATAATAATAATAATAATAATAATAATAATAATAATAATAATAATAATAATAATAATAATAATAATAATAATAATAATAATAATAATAATAATAATAATAATAATAATAATAATAATAATAATAATAATAATAATAATAATAATAATAATAATAATAATAATAATAATAATAATAATAATAATAATAATAATAATAATAATAATAATAATAATAATAATAATAATAATAATAATAATAATAATAATAATAATAATAATAATAATAATAATAATAATAATAATAATAATAATAATAATAATAATAATAATAATAATATAATAATAATAATAATAATAATAATAATAATAATAATAATAATAATAATAATAATAATAATAATAATAATAATAATAATAATAATAATAATAATAATAATAATAATAATAATAATAATAATAATAATAATAATAATAATAATAATAATAATAATAATAATAATAATAATAATAATAATAATAATAATAATAATAATAATAATAATAATAATAATAATAATAATAATAATAATAATAATAATAATAATAATAATAATAATAATAATAATAATAATAATAATAATAATAATAATAATAATAATAATATAATAATAATAATAATAATAATAATAATAATAATAATAATAATAATAATAATAATAATAATAATAATAATAATAATAATAATAATAATAATAATAATAATAATAATAATAATAATAATAATAATAATAATAATAATAATAATAATAATAATAATAATAATAATAATAATAATAATAATAATAATAATAATGGTAATATATTACTATATAAAAAGGAAACTTTTCATAAGTCCCTCAGCTATTTTTAATTTCAAAAAAAAAGAAAAAACTTAAACAAATTAAAATAGAAAGAAGAAAGAAGCAATGATCAAAAATTTTCCACTAAACTTTTGCGAGAAAATGAATTAAAATTACCTATAACAAAACTGGTCCCAAAATTGTTTTGTTTCTTTTTTTTTTTTTTTTTTAAATGAACAAAATAGTTTGTATGATGCATTTTACAACTTTTAGTTGATACCCAATTCAGTTATTACTACATTATCTATCGCTGAAAAAAAAAATAACTGATATATTACATCAAAAACTCGAAAGTTTTATTACTAAATATTAAAAAAATTTTAAATATTTTATATTTCATATGATATTTTCAGCAAAACTATCATATCATATCGTATTAAATTCACAATATATTTTAGTAAGATTAAATAATTA